AGACACAGTTACAACACCAATTAGGTGGCAATAGCCTGGAGGCTGGGGCAGGGTCCTCCAGAAGGGAGTGTATGCTTTGAATCAGCATCCAAAATATGGTACAGTTTCTCCTATAGCCAAGATTCACAGGTCCAGGAATCAAGGCATGGAAGTTGGAATGATTCCACTCACTGTCACCCCTGGTGACCCACTACAAAAATTTTTGCTTCTTGTACCCTCGACTTTGCACTCTACTGGCTTAGATGTTTTGGTTCCAAAGGAGGGAGTGCTTCTGCCAGGAGAGACAACAAACATTCCATTGAACTGGAAGCTAAGACTTCCCTCTGGATACTTTGGGCTTCTGATGCCCTTAAGTCAGCATGCTGAGAAAGGAATAAGAGTATTTGGAGGGGTGACTGACCCAGACTACCAGGGGGAAACTGGACTGGTTCTTCACAATGGAGGTAATGAAGATTATATCTGGAAGGCAGAAGATTCCTTAAGGCAACTTTTGGGGTTACCATGTCCTGTGTTTAAGGTCAATGGGAAACTGCAACGACCCAATCCAGACAGGACAACAAATGGCCCAGACCCTTCAGGGATAAAAGTATGGGTCACTGCTCCAGGGAAAGAGCCAAGACCTGAAGAGGTGCTTGCTGATGGTGGAGGAAATACAGAATGGGTGGTAGACAAAGGTAGTTACAAATACCAACTTGAGCCACGTGACCAGTTGCAGAAATGTGGATTGTAACTGACATGAGCATTTTTGTCCTATTTGGTTAAGAATAGGCTTGTGCATATTTGTTAAGCAGATACTTGAGTTATTCTTTTTTGAATGTGTAATTGAGATAAGTGTTAAGTGGTTAAGTGTTATGAACCTATATGATTATATTGGGTTATGAGACACTAAAGGACTAAGCATTCCTCGAAGACCTTATCACCTACTCTAAAATATATAATGCATTGGTCATTGTAAGATGGGATAATTATATCATGTTAGGTGAAATTATGACCTCAACATTGTTTTCATTTGAAAATTAAGCATCATAACAGAGAGGGATGCTGTTGGGTGTCAAGTTGACAAGGGGTGGACTTGTGATGTCTAATCCTGAGTGTCAACTTGACTGGATCTGGGATTAACTGGAATGAGAGAGATCTTCTTGATTGGATCATCTGAAACTGGAAGACAAACCCTAAATCTGGGTGTTACTTTCTGATGGCAGCCCCTATAAAAAGCCAAGGCAGAGGAGAATGCCAGGCTTCTTGCTGCTTGCCTTCTCTCTTGCTGGTGAGTTTGTCTTGCTGCTGTAGACTGAAGACTAGCTGATCTTTTGGAATTCATCAGACTTCAGCACCAGATTGGGACTACTGAGACATCCAGCCTTGTGGACTGAGCGACTACCGGATTCTCAGCCTCTCCAGTGTGGCACAGCCATTGTTGGACTACTCGGACTCTATCCTGTGAGCTAAGCTGATAAATCTCTATACATATATATTCATTCTACTGGTCCTGTTTCTTTGTAGAACCCTAACTAATACACCAAATAAACCTTTTCTATTTCAACTTTATTTGTATTAAAAATAAATGCTTAAAGCTAATGGTAACTTTCCTTAACTAATTGTTAAAATCCAAGAAACTATGACGCTGCATAGGCAGCACACACAGAATGGCCCAACAGCCAGCAGGGGATCTGTGTCCTGAACATCCATCCTACAGATGCTTCATACTCCAGTGACTTTACATCAGAGAGGTTCAGTTAGTGATAGATGAAATAAATCCTTTAGGGTATAAACCTTGGCTACAGACTGAGGTACAGGTGAAAGACAGCTTATTACATTATAATAGATGAAATAAACTTAAAGGTATCCCCGAGTCCATTTTCCTTCCTTTAGAATACGAATTTCCTGAAAACAGAGGATATGTTTTATCATATTTGTATCTTTACAAAAACCTAACAATAGGTCCAGTACACAATGTTTACTGAATGAATAAATGTATATAAAAGTTAGCATGGTCTTATAAAAATCTACTGTTCTAGGACTGGAGAGATGGTCCAGTGGTTAAGAGCACTGGCTGCTCTTACATAAGACCAGGGCTTGGTTCCCAGCATCTATATGGTGGCTAACAACCATCCATAATTCCCAGCATCTATATGGTGGCTAACAACCATCCATAATTCTAGTTCCAGGGGATCCAATGCTCTCTTATGGCCTCTACAGGCATTGCACACACACAGTGCACTTAAATGAACTCAGGCAAAACACTCATACACATACAAACTAAATAAACACAGTATTAAAAAATTCTGTATCAAACATGTCTCTGGTTACAACCTTAAAACTTAGAAATGTATTATAAAACAAATATTCTCTTCTCTATAAAACATCCCATGTCTTGTTCTTTATAATTATATCCAAGAGGGTTGATAGTTGCAACTACATCAGGTTAGAACTGGATATAGTAATACTTCATATTATTACTTGGGAACAAAACTGGAAAATTGTTCACAAGTGGCCTTATTGTTGAGGCGATCTCAGTGAAACTGAAGGGGAGAAGCCTGGTTATAGGAAATACTACAACTCTGACCTTGGTCTCCTTGGCAGTACCAGGAAAAGGGCAGTCTCTACAGCTACAGGCACTTACTCAGTACATGAAATTTTTCTGACTTTGCATCATCCTGGAGACCACTATAAGTCTCAAAGGTCTGCATCAACGGTCAAGGTGACTGAGTCCCACAGCTGGTTCCAAATCCAGTTCTCTCCCCTGGTCTCAGACGCCTGTGTTCTGTGCCTCATATGGGGCTAAAATCTCGTTTTACCTTAGAATTTCCTTTAAGGAAATTTATTATAGCCCAATGATATCAGATGGTCAGCAACAAAGCTAACAGATTTTTTAATTATGCTAACAATATGCCACTGGATACTATATTCCAAATGAACTAACTGGAAATTCATTTATGATATAATAAATACAGGTACAAGGACATATGTTTATCTAGAAAAGACTGACTTTTTGGTAATAGTCTTATGTGTTTATGTTACTGAAAGAAAAAAATTGAGATAGGGTCTCACTCTACAGTCTAAACTGATCTAACTATGTAGCAGGTTGAGTGGCCAAAATTCCCAGAAATCCTCCCACCTTGGCCTCCCTGGTGACAGGATTAGATGTGTGTGCCACCACTCCCAGTTCCACTCCCAGCTTAGCAACTGTCCAATGTTGTTACTAAAACAGAAAAATAAGACTGTCTACTCTTCCTAGGAGTTTATGCTTACTACATACAAAGACACCAGCAATAACCTTAATTGAACATTTAATTGTTTAACATTATACTGGGGCTGAAGCAGAAGCCTTCCTCTGAAATACCACAGTGCTTTTTGTATTTCTTTGACAGTCGTTGCATTAGGAATCTTCTGCAGCACTTACAAACAAGTTAGGTCTTCTGTTCTAAAATTAGTCCCTGCAGCAATTTAATTAGAAAGCTAGAGTTCTTTCAGGGCTTCCTTCCCCTGGTTTTGCTCTAGTTATGTAATAATTTTCTATCGGCTGCAATGCATTTATACAGATCTAACCTGAAAACTTTATTTTCTTATAATTTAAATATTTACCTTTCTAATTAAATGTTGCAAGCCAATCTTAATTATTTTAAACTACCAGCACTTCTTGGCAAAATAATGGCCTTAAGAGTCACCGTATCTCCTTTGCCCTCACCACATATGCTGTCATTGAATACCCAGTCAAGAGAAGCTAAACTGTTACAACAGGTCTCTTTTCAGACTTGTGGAAGACAGGAAGAAAATGGAATCAAATAAATGGAAAACAGAGCTGAAAGTGTATAAGGGAGGCAGGCAGCTGAATCAGGTTGGGGACGCTGGCCTGGCCCAGGACACCTTCCTGTTGCCCACTAGAGGGCACTGTAAATGCTCCAGCCCGGAAAGAGACAGTGCCTATCTGTGCTGCACCCTAGCCAGGTAGGGACTGGTGCCAGAGAGGGACTGACAACTTGTCAGACCACCTTCCTTGAGACTTGAAGCCAAGATAAGGACGGACCAATGATGGGCAAGGCCACACCTGACCAGGGCTGCTGAGCTATGCACCCCTCTTGCCCTCCACTTAAACCTCAAGCCAAAACCCCAAAGATGGGATTCTGTTTCTCTTCCCAATGTGACACATTGAATGAATCCTTTTTTTGTGATTTTCACCATCCTTTAATTGGCCTATTGAGGATGAGTGGCCAAGCCTAGGTTCTTAGGGATGCCAGGGCCCAGCTGACCCTAGCAATTCCAATAGCATACCCACTTGCAACAAGAAACTATGTAGTAGAGATCAATGAAACTTTCTAGCTCAACTCACACTGAATAAGAATTGACTATTTAAAAAATTATCTACTTTAGAATTGTAAAATATACTTTGGATTTTAAAAAATAAAATAGAGACTAGCTTTGCCATTGTTTGCCAGACTGAGAGTTTGGGAGTCATGTGATTATGACATCAAGCTTGCATTTCTGAAAGACTTTCTGTGATCAGGCAACGCCTGAAGTTCATATTTCTAGGCACCACAAGGGTCCACAATGCTTTAAATATGACAGCAGCTTTCTTCCACACGTCCATTCTTGAACAAATACTTACTATGCATATATACTGGGCCGGGCAATATTTCAGGTACTGGAATACAGCAATGAGCAGAAGAGACACACACCTGCCTTTACAGAGCTTAATTATAATGGAGCACCAAAAAATTTAAGAAGTACAAAGCTAAGTAAGTGGACTGGATAACACAGGGTTTTGCTGGGGCAGGGGACAGGTACAGCGGAATGCAGGTAATAACAGCAATGTCAAACCAGTTAAGTAATGGTGGGACAAAAGTCACGGATAACAAAGAAGTGAAGTCAGAACCCTTCTGAAAACGGCATACTTCCACACTGTCTCCCGGCCTCTAGCACCCAAGTGTGAAAACCTTTCCGTAGGAGTACTGAAGGACTTGTTTTCACTCTCTCTCCCTCCCTGCTTCTTTTTCCTTTACCTTGGTCTCTTCTAACTGCCTTTGCAGATTTTTGGGGTCCACAGCAATAGGTTCGAGTAAATGTTTGCTTGCTTTGGCCTCACAGGCCTGGAGCCCAGAAAGAAGTGCACATGAGGCATCTTCATAGTGTTGGTGCTTATCCACTAGATCTTTAAGATTATTTCCAAGGACACTGCACTAAAAAACAAGAGAAGATAAAAGGAGATTAAAACCCATTATTTTCTTCGGTGTCAAACAGCCTTAAGACTTAACTCTATAACGGGATGGGAGGATTTAGATTTTAATCAAAGTTAAGGTTTTCTCATGTAGAGAAGTCCAAAAGTAACCTAAAAATGAGAAATTTCTAGACTTACAACAACTCAAAACCATATTGGTGACTGAGTCTTAGAAAAGAACAAACACTAGAGTAGGCAGGCATACCATTACACATGACATATATACAAGTTAATAGAAAACTTGTAAGGCATTTTATAAGTCATTTCTACACGTTGCATAAGATTGATTAACACAAAGAGGGCAAATAATTTACATTAAAATAAAGGAAAGTCCAAGAGTCAAAAATGTTCTTCAGGGGTTGGAAAGACGGCTTAGTGGCTAAAAGCACTTGCTGCTCTTCCAAAGGACCTGGGCTCAGTTCCAAACAACTGCGTTAGGCAGCTCACAACCACCTGTAATTTCAACTCCAGGAGATCTGATAACCACTTCTAGATTCTGCAGGTACATACACATACACAGGCACACACACATAAATAAAAATAGAATAAATCTTTAAAAATAGTTCTGAAAATCATTCTTCATCAAAGCTAAGTCTGAACAGCTTATATTACAAGCACAAAAATATGTCCTTAGGTTTTCAGCACACTCATTTACTTTTTGGTTGATTTTGAGACAGGATCTTGCTATACAGTCCAGGCTGTCCTCTGACTTAAGATCCTTCTGCCCAATTTTTGGAGTCCTGGGATTATATGCATGCATCAATGCACCTAGCTCAGGCTAAAAAAACTTTTAATTTTTCACAGAACTTTTTTTAAAAAAGCGATAGAACATTAGTCATTAAGAAAGTAAAAATTACATCTACAGGATCTACTGAGCCCCTCCCTCTGCTCAGTTCACATACTCCATCTTGTGGTCAAATTTGGTACTGCAGAATATTTCTTTGAAATTTTAAATTTTATTGTTATTTTATTTTATGTGTATAAATGTACTGCTTGTATGCATATAAGTGCACCTGTGTCGTGCAGTGCCTGCAGAGGTCAGAAGAGGGCACTGGATCCCAAGGAACTGGATTTACAGACGGTTGTTAGCCTCCATGTGGGTGCTGGGTCTTCTGCAAGAGCAGCCAGGGCTCTAACCTGCTGAGTCATCTCTCCAGCCCCTGAAGTTGCTAAACACATTTTTTTCAGGAGTAAAATGGATGAATAAGACTGGAAATTACTATTTTTTCCATATCCCTTTTTAGATTTTTTTTTTTTTCCTTCTAAACCCAAAACAAAAGTGAAGCGGACAGAGTGAAAAATATACCACACACTGACCTTCCACGTAAAAAAAAAAAAAACAGTTACCTTGGAGTAGAGAGACCGGAATCGGTCTGTCACGTGGTCCAGTTTGCGCTGAACTTCTCTGTGGGTGGAGGAAGTGTCAATATTGTCCTCAACCTTGCTGCCATCTCTCTTGCTGCAAGATTTGGCAGCTTCTAACACCCTGCTTCCAGAAATTGTGATGTACCTCAGGTCACCTTTGTGTGAAATCACGTCTTCTGAGAAGCTCTTCTGCCTCTTCAGCTTGGCCAGCAAACCGGTGAAGTCATCCGCGCCCGCCTCCAGGTTTTCCAGCTCTTGCTCTGACTGCTGTAGCCAGTGCTCAAACTCACTGTAATCAGCATCGAACTTCTCTAACTCTTCCTGCAGCGAGTGCGTTAGCTTCATCTTCTTCTCAGACTCGGCCAGCGCGGTCTCATAATGCGCTTTCAGCTCCCTCATGTTCTTCTGCAGCTTCTCCTTTTCCTCGGGTGATAGATAGCGGCCCTGCTTCTCTAGCAATGCCTCTGCAGACTGTGTGGCTGCGATGACAGCTTGGTGCTGGGCCATGATCTTTTCATGCTGGGCCTGTGTGGAAACAAGTTGACCACAGCTTTAGAGCTGCTGGGAGCACTCGAAGGCCTCATGAGGACTAGGCTTCAACAAGCCAACTTGCTTCTCATTGCCTTTTTCAAGCCGTTTTATATATATATGCTCCTTTTATAGGTGAATTTGAAAACATTTAAACAATAATTAAGCAAGGCCAGTATGTAGTCTAATAAATAAAGGAAAAAGGACACTGGAGATACTTGGAATCACTGGACCTCAGTGTCCTGCCTAGCAGACATGGGGACGTTACATGATGAACACCACACACTGCAGATGTGCTGTAAGGAACACCTCTGATCACATGCAAGAAATTCCTGCAGAGCCTGGCACATGTCAGGAAAGCAGAGCTCTTGGACAGTGGTGCTGCCAATAGGTCACAGCTGTGCAGGACCACCAATAACCTCAATTTCAGGGTGGCAGGAAGACCCTGGGCATCTCAAGCTCCCTTCCCTCCAGCTATGAGAATCTGCTTCCATTATGCCATCCAAGTACGGCAAAGGATAATAATCCTTGAGTATTTTTCTACATTTCTTAGAATGGCTCACACGGACTTGATGGCTGCCTTAGGTGTCTCTGCTAACTCTGGTCTCTGCTGGTCCCATATCTACCATCATGCCCGCAATTACGACCTGGTTTTTTTTTGTTTTTTTTTTGTTTTTTTGTTTTTTTGGGGTATAGTGACAACTCTTTCAACTGTGCCATCTTCCATCTCCTTTAAATCTCTGCACACAACCTAATCACTGTGGGTTAATTACTAGATTTAAATACTAAAAACGGACACAACAGTGCACTAACTACTTTCAATGAACTCATAATAACATCTCTCCCTTCATGCTTACCACCTTCTGCCACACACACCATGTAACTTAACTGCTATCTATTTGCTGCACCATCCCCATCCCTTCATGGCAACCACCCTGCTGAATTGGGCAGAGTGAAATGATTGCTACAAAGTGAAAAGGGCTTAGAAGCTCCACAATCCATCAAGTGTTTGCTTAGAAGCTGCTGTCAGTCAGCCAGCACACAGAGGTCATTATGTGCATTCTCACTATCAGCACCAATGTCCACACACCATGAGCACAGGATACTTTTGTCTAAACTCTTCTCCGACATACTGGGCCTTTGAATATGCTGCTCGCCAGCATGGCTTTGCCCTCGACAGGATGGGCATATAGAACACCTGAGGTCATCAGATCAGGGCCCTTCCTCTTCCAGATGAGTGCTCTCGGGTTGAAGGGAGGAAAGGGCTTGGCTGGCCTGGCACAGCTGCAGAGGGCTGTCATCTCTGGCTTGAGTTCTCTGGCCTTGTCTCAACTCAAGCAGCAGGCCAGGCCTTAAGGACTCTCAGATTTTTAGTCTTAGAAGTAAAAATCTCAGAAGAAAAATGCTATGGACTAAAACAAAGACTGGTCTAGGTGACTTCTTCATATTAAAGTCCACTCACTGATATTTTTCAGGACTTTGGTTAAGTTACTAACTTTTGTGACTTTTTTTTTTGGTCATCATAAACTTCCTTCAGGAGTTCATTAGCTTTATGATTTAAAGCCGTGGGGACCTGTGATTAGCAAATACTGTTTTTCTGGCTTCAGTTTTATTTTCTAAAAGAATCTCACAGAGAACATCCTATTGGATTCTAGGAGACTAAGAATGGCAAGCCATCAATCACCAAAAAGCCAAGCAAAGCACTAAGGTAGAAGTATCAACTCTGGGACACTTTAAAATGGCTCCTTTGCAGGTTGATTTCTGTGAGATCTGGGACAGCCTGGTCTACATAGCAAGTTCCAGGCCAGCTGGGGTTACAGGGAGACCCTGTCTGGCTCCTTCCACTGCCTTTACTCCTGTAGCAGCATTTACCAGAGCTTTCATTTTCACCATGTAGGAGGCTTTTGATCTCCACAGCAGCCTGCACCGTCCCCACTGGCTGAGCTCAGATGGAGGTAAGTGAGCTCAAGGCTGCGTAGCAAGCTGGTCTGCAAGCATGCAGTAGAGATCAGCAGAGACTGAAGATATGATGGAGATTAAACCCAATCTCTGTCTTTACTACATGAGTAACCCGGGTAAGCTATTTTAATGAGCTGCAGTTTTCTTATAAAATGAAAATTAAAACCTTAAAGAGTAGCTAGGAAGACTAAATGGAGGTCATTCAGAAAGAACCTGAGAGGCATGCCTGACCACTGTCAACAGCTCTGGGATGTTACCTGTCACTAGTATTTCTTTAATGTCTTGTACTATGGCTTCACCTATGCAGAGATGGCCATATCTAATGATTTATTTCTGACTATTTTTACTTGCTAAGAACGTTCATAATAATTTATATGCGACAATAATGATGAACTTGGGGTGAGGGTAATGAGGGCTTTATTCTCTGTGGTCAACAGGGCTTGGTTGTGCTAAGCTGTTGTATCTTTACTGACCCACAAATAGAATATGACAATATCATTGTTTGAACAACACACCTTGACTTTCTGGTACTGCTGGTTCAGATTCTCCTCGGTCGTCTCAACGTGCCCATCAACACTTGTTTCCAGTAGGTTGCCATTAACTTCATCCTCTTCACCAATCACTGACTTGCCGTCGCCTTCTTGAAAATGGGATCCATTCTGTTCAATCACCTGAGTGTATTTTGTCTCTGCTCTTTCTGAGTCTTTGTCAACATTTGACAACCAGTCCAAAAGGTTTTCTATTTTGGTTTTGCTCTCTTCTAGCTGTCTCACAGCTGCAACCTGGGTGTGAAAAGGTCTCCAGTATTATAGATGCAGCCCAAATGTTTAATGCATTAAAAAAAAACCAAGATAACTTTATATAAATTGATACATATTGGAAACACACTGGAATTAAATCCTAAGGTAGTAAGTAGTTACTCTAAAGCCTCCACTGCCTTTAAAACTAAATTTCAAGTTTTTAACTTACTTAACTGACAAGTGATTACATGTTTTACCAGTCCAAAGTCTCACTACCCACTTCAATTCTAAGAAAAGTAAAGTGGGCAAAGCCAGCTTTCCCAGTCTTTGTTAGTACTTGGTCAATTGTGTACCCGGAGTGCCAGAATTCTACCTCTTAGTGCTGATCACTGCTCACCACCACCAGATATGCGTCACAGAATCAAAAAGCTGCTATGGTAATCATTTTAGACACAGCAATAGTCTACCATACATTTGGAGATGCACCTTTTCAGTTTCTTCCTTGATTGCTGTCTTCACAACTTTATCCAGCTCCTTTTTCGACTGTTCTGCCTTTAAATTCAGCTGCTCACACTTCACCTTTGCCTCATTCAGTTTCTGCTCAATCAAAGCTTTATCTTCCTGGGACAGCTTTTCCCCATTCTCTTTTAAAAAGATTTCTGTATTTTTCACGACTTCTGTTAATGCCTGTGCACTTCTTTGCATATCTTTCTGTAATTCCTTACAACACAAATGAAAAAGTATTTTATTATGTCATTTCCTTAATTCCTGCAGGACTGAACTTCTAAAACAGTTATGGTAAGTAAGGAGACTCTCACAAATGAAGTTTTAAAAAGCCTATGAAGTAAAGTACTTAGAGTACATTACTGCACCCATTACAATATATTTTGTAGAATTTAAAATCTCATCAGTAAAAAATACATGAATTTTTCATGCCTAAGTAAAGAATATAGCTTGTAAAACATTAAAAACATTGAGGTGCTTGTATATGAATGATGCAAATTTGCATGAAATTATATAAACACATTCCTAAAAGCTTGTAAATTTGTGGTAATATTTATTCTTTTTCTAAGCAGGGTCTCACTATGTAGCCTAGGTAGGTCTAAAACTGTTGATCTTCTTCTTAAGTTTCCCAAGTGCTATGATTCCACTGGCCCCTACAGCTGACTAAACACTGATTTTTAAACACATTCCTATTGCTCAGAATAAAAAAGAAAATAACTCCTCCAGCAAACTGAGATGCTTTCATTTCTTAAATACCAGGTTATATACTATGCAATATGTGGTGTTTTGAATGAGAAATGTCCCCCTATGCTCAAGTATTTGAACAGTTGGTCCCCAGTTGGTAGTACTGTTTGAGGAGGTCATAAAATCGAACGGAAGTACAGCCTTGTTGAAGGAAGTACATCATTGAGTATGGTCTTTGAGAGTTTATAGCCTACCCACCCCACTTCCGGTTAGCTCACTGCTCCCTGTTTGTGGGTGGAGAGGTGATCCCTCAGATTTTTGTTCCTGCCACCACGCCTGCTGCTTGCTACCATGCCTCCCTGCCATGATGGACTCTTACTCCTCTGGAACTATAAGCCAAATAAATGCTTTTATCATTAAGTTGCTTTGGGTCTTAGTATTTTATCACAGCAACAAATAATAGCTAATACAGAAACTGACTCCTGAGAGAGTAGGCTGTTGCTGTGAGGAACCTGACCATGTTGGCTTTTGAAGGAATGTGGAAAACTTTGGAATTGTAGACAAGAAAAATAGCTGAGTGCTATAAGTAGAGCTTAATGAGCCATTCTTACAGGAGCCTGGAAGACAGGAGTGCTGAAAGCAATGTGGACTGTGAGGGTGGGCTCAAGAGGTTTCAGAAGGACCAAGGCCTCTATTTTCAACTGCACTAGAAGCTATTTGTGTGGTACTCTGACAAAGAATCAAACTCTTTTCTCCCCGTGAAATTAAAATTTATGTGAGCCTAAATTAAAAGGTAATGGACTAATTTACATGGCAGAAGAAATTTCAAGACAGCATAACTTTGAGTCCATGACTTGGTTATTATTGGTAACTTTTATGCAGGTCTATAATGAAGAAGAGAAAAATGGCAAAAAAGGGCAAAAAAATGTACAGTTTGGAAAGAAAAAGAGCACTAGGAAGCTTAAGGTTATAATAACAGGCATATTCTGTAATTGTTAAGGAGATCAGGGTCACTGAGAGGCCTCCTGCTCTGCACTGGAATAATGGCAAGGGTGCCCTGAGGGCAAGACCCCACAGCTAAGCTTCAAATTTGTGAAAAGAGAAAGCCCAAGGGTTGCTTGCTCCTAGAAAGCAATTACTATAACTTACAAAAGCTGCTGCTAATGTAGTCAAAGGGGACAAGGATCCATCCCAAGATGGCAACTGAACTTGATGGTGTCATCCAGGTGGTGCTGGCTTTGGGAGCATGAAAGATGCAAGAGTAAGGGGGTTGTAGATTCTTCCTCTGGGTTTCAGAGAGCTTCTGGGGCCAGGCAACACATGGCAGGGGACACCCTGTGAGGAGGCTGTGAGAGGCCATTGTGTAAAGCAGTGGAAGTAAAGTCTGGGATATGATGGAGACACCATGTTGCTGGAAATGTCAGAGCCATGAGACATCTGCCAAGGAGAGCTGCATATAGGGAGTGGAACCAGCCCAAGAGATGCATGTTGCAGGCAAAAAAGCTGGAAGGACAAAGCCATCTAATCCCTATGAAACTAAAGCTCCAGACACCTGATATGGAGTTATAGGATTTGGTGTTTGCCCCGCTAGGTTTCAGTCTTTGCTCCAGAATTTCCTCACCATGCCCTATTCTTCCTTTTTGGAATAGAAATGTATATTCTGTGCCATTGTATGCTAGAAGTACATAATTTGCCTTTTGATTTTACAGGGGCTAACAGTTCAAAGACTGCTGTGAATGTCAAAGAAACTTGGAGCCAGGTGGAATTTACCTTTAATCCCAGCCCTTGGGAGGGAGAGGCAGGCTTATCTCTGTGAACTTCAAGGCCAGCCTAGTCTACATAAAGAGTTCCAGGCAAGCTACAGAAAGAGTCCCTGTCTTCTCTGCGCGCGCGCGCGCGCACACACACACACACACACACACACACACACAAAATACAGAAAATAAAGAAACTCAAGACACTAGATTTTTAAACAGTGTTGAGACAGTGAAGGACTATGGGGACCTTTAAAGTTAGATTACATGCATTTTTCATTATGATATGACCAGGGAGTGGAATGAGAAATGTCCCTTATAGGCTCAAGTATGAAAACACTTAGTCCCAAGTTGGAGGTACTGCGTGGGGAGGTCATAGACCCTTTAGAGATGCAGCCTTGCTGAAGTAAGTGCATCAGAGGGGGCAGGCTTTACATGGTTACAGCCTTGCCCCACTTCCAGTTCTCGCTCTGCTTCCTGTGGGTAGACAAAGATGTGATTTTTCAGTTTCCTGATCTGGCTGTCTGCTACCATGTCCTCACTGCTATTATGGACTGTTCCTCTGAAACTGTAAGCCAAAATAAACTCTTCCTTCTATTAAGTTACTTTGGGTCATGGTGCTTTATCATAGCAACGAAAAGTAACTGATACTTTGCATCTCTATCTTAGCCCTGGCTGCTAGGGAGCTCAGGATTAAGACTTCTTCTACATGGCTATAGCTTTCCTTTGTCTAAAAAGAAGAAGTTTCTTTATGCCATTTTCCTCTTAAAAAAGGGAAAATTTGTGTTATTATACATTTTCACTCTCCATAACATGCTATTAAATTTTAGTATTTTTCCCATACTTTATCTTCAGCTTTCTCAAGTTTTTCCGAGCATTTGAATTGAAGAAGATGCTACATTCTAAGCACTACTATGTGACATAACTGTGCTAGTGATTTAATATTTACTTAGCCTTAACATACTGTATCAAAAGAGGTATATTCACTGAAAGAAACTGAGGCTCAGACATTGAGTTACAACAACACTGAATTTGAAACAAGGGCTATGTAGTTATAGTGAAAATGTCTTTCTTCTAACATAAGAATAAAGATATTCTTCTCTGTCATTTTTGTTATCCCTTCCCCTTTTCCTTACATAAAAAGGGATGAAAAACAGAAAGATGAGAGGAACAGGAAGGAGAGGCTCAGAAAGAGAAAGATCTCAAACTGAAGGCTACTTCTGACCCACAAGTGGGTTGGTTGGCTCTAAAATGATTCAATTTTAAATTATCATGCAAGGCATTTCTATGACCAAACCTCCTTTTTATTTCCTTGATTCACTATACCACCAAAAAAAAAGTCAAGAGAATTACCTAGTCTTTTTCAAGTGAAATCAAGCTTTTAAAATAAAGTTTAAGCTCGTGCCTGGATCCCTTCTGATAAACCTACTCCTGTGCTTAATCAATAATCCTAAAGGCCTTCAAAATGGTCCTAATCAAATTTAACATGGATGCGTAGCTGCCATACAAAACAAAGCCTACCTCTTGCTTAGACTGGTACTTCTTTAACTCAACCGTGCCATCTCCAATCACAAAGGCTTCTTGGTGACCAATTAGGCGGTTCTCAGTTTGGGTGAGGAGATCACACAGCCCTTGGAGCTTCTCTTTGTACTCCTGTTGACACTCTGCCACAATCTAAGATGGAGAAAACCCAAAACACTGTCAATGGGTGATCTTCAAATCACTTTTGATCATGCTTCTCACTAGAACACCCTTTTCAAATACCCTCTATTAAGCTTTTTAAGTATGCTGTAAACATGATAGCCCTAGAGTACAAACTGAGCAAGGACAGAGAGAGAAAGAGTACAGTATGAACATGTCCCATGTACACAGAAAGAGATCCTGTTTGGGTGAAGTCACAACAGAATACTGGCCATGCATATGTGTAAGAGATGGAACTTCTGACCAACAGGAAGAAACATCCCATTTTCTTAAGTGCTTGAAACCTGCGACACACAATTAATTCTGCAAAAGGACACCAAAAGAGAAGTTAGTTGTGATTTGTCAGTTAACATATGGATATGTATATATAGGTTATCATGCTAGACACGATGCCTGGGTGTTTCAAGAATTAATAAAAGGAACAGTGCATGCACTATTTCTATTTCATACTATGTCTAGTTGCAATTCCATTTCTTTGCTCATTACTGCTATTAGATACAGCACTGTAATAGAGCTCAGTAAATATTCGAGATGAGTAAGTCAAAACCAATTACCTGCATCTTTATTTTCCTATACTACATACCCTGATTATCTAGATTATACAGACAGTAAACACGGCTCATGTTTAACTAAAAGCTTTAGCACATGCCAGGCAAAGTACTGTTTTATATGCATTACTCTGTCAGTACTCATAATACTACCTGATAAATTCCAATTTACCAATGAAAATAGTGAGGCTAAGTGACTTGCCCTAGGTCACAGAAAGCAGAAAGAGTAGGGTAGTTAGGGCACAATTTTTTTCTATCTATCTATCTATCTATCTATCTATCTATCTATCTATTTATTTATTTTTGAGTCAAAGTCTCTCTGTAGCAGCAGCTGGCTTGGAACTCACTATGTAGATCAAGCTGGCTTTGATCTCACAGAGCTCTACCTGCCTCTACCTCCCAAGTGCTGGGATTGTCATGACACGAATTTAAGCAACCCAGCTCCGTAGCATCCACTCCAGAGCACAAGCTCTGAGCTGCCGTGCCCTTTCCCATCCCCAGAGGATAAAGATACTCTGTCCTTCAGAGATAAATGTTCATTAATTTATTCCTGGAAATTTCTGGATGTGTACTATTTCCCATTTTGATGGGGAAAAGAATCAAGACTCTCACCTAAAAAAGTAGTATTAGAGAGTTATGAAAATTAAAATCAGTCAAATGATAGCATCAGTATGATGCTGGGGGCTGGAGGGATGGCTCAGAGGTTAAGAACACTGACTGTTCTTGCAGAAGACCTGGGTTCGAATCCCAGGACCCACATGGCAGCTAACAACTGTCCGTACTCCAGGACAGCCTCTTCTGTTCTCCATGGGCACTGCACGACATGGGTGTACTTACCCACATGCAGGCAATACACACATACACATAAAATAAAAATAATAAATAAAATATTAAAAAAAGAAAAACCATATTGTGATGCACACAATACCCCTACATTTCATCCTATCCATTAAGGCCTGGCCAGAAATCTTCCTCTCTGGTTATAATTTTTGGATATCTATGCTAGAGTTTCATGTTGAAAAAGTGAAATAATGACCCCTAACTCCACAAAGAAAGGCAAACCTTCTGATGATCAAGTTCCTGTTCCAGGTGTAACTGAGTCTCTAAATGATCCACCTTGGTGGTGACCAACTCCTGCATGTCAAGAAAACACTTCTGGGTTGTGTTTAAGAGTCTGAGCAGTTGTCTGCTTTGGTTGGGAGACAGATCTTGCGCATATTCAGAGATGAAGAACTGTATGTCAAAGGCCATTGTATCCAGCTGCACTTTGCTATGTGCGAGGTCTCGCAGCACATTCTGTGAACAAAGTAATCCAAGTTACCCAGAGAGGTAAACTGTGATAAAGTTCAACACTATTAATAATATTGATTGTTTAAATATGCTCCTTCATTCAGGTTCTCAAAGGTTTAATGATACTTTTTCAGTGATCATGAAAAATCCACTACACAAATCTAGTAATAAAAATTACAGACTTTTAGCCAGGCGTGGTGGTGCACGCCTTTAATCCCAGCACTCGGGAGGCAGAGGCAGGTGGATCTTTGTGAGTTCAAGGCCAGCCTGGTCTACAAAGTGAGTTCCAGGCCAGCTGGGGCTACAGGGAGACCCTGTCTCAAAAAAACAAAACAAAACAAAATAATAAAAAAATAAAGATTTTTATTATGCATACATATATATACATATACATATATAAAATGAAGTGTGTGTGAGATATGTGTACATACAAGTGTGTGCATGTCATTGCTCATGTGTAGGTCAGAAGAGAACCTCACGCACTGGTCCTCTTCCACCAGTTCTTGTTCTGAGACAGGGTGTCTTTCTGTGTTGTTCACTGCTACTAAGACCAGGCCAGGTGACCCACAAGCTTTCAGGAATTCTCCTGCCTTCCTGCCTCTACCTCCCAGCTCCTCACAGCAGCCTAGTATTACAGATGTGCACTACTGTTTCCAGCTTTACTAGGGATTTGACTTTAGATCCTCACACTTTCAGGGTTAGTATGGCAAGTACTTTACTCACTGAGCTACCTCCCCATCCCAATAAAAATTATTTAAATATGATGGCAGTTAAAATATGAAGGATAGCTGGATATGGTGCCAAATGTCTTTAATCCTAACACTCAGGAGGCAGAGGCAGGTGGATCTCTGTAGTTTGAGACTAGTCTGGTCAACATAGTGAGTTCTAGGCCAGCCAGAGCTTCATAGTAAGAGCCTGTTTCATATGAACAAAACATATGAAAAGATAAATAACAATTCCATAAGTGTTCTCTCTGCCTGATAACATCATATTTAGAATGTAAAACAATGATCCAAATCAGTTCAAAGTAGTACATCACAGAAAATGGAAATAGTTTGCTAATATTTACATTATTCATTAAACTGTAGTAGCACATAACAAGACCATGGGGACTTTCAACGTGCATGGCCAGAACTTCAGTTTTCCTACTCAGAAGCAATGAGCCTAACCAAGTCCATGAGGCAGGTTGCTCAAATTAAGAATCTATAAAAGAAAAAAAAATCATAGCAAAATTGACTACCATATAAATTGAACTTAGGCTATTATACTCTAATGTGACTCATTTGTAACTATTATGTGTTTATATAATGAATGAATGAATGAATGAATGAATGAATGAATGAATGAAGGAGTTTTTAGACAGGATCTCACTATGTAGCCCTGGCTTGGAACAGGCTTTGTAGATCAAGCTGTCCTTGAACTCACAGAGATTCACCTGTCTCTGTCTCCCAAGCGCTGGGATTAAAGGTGTGCTCTACCACACCTAGCTATATGAGTAATTTCTTTAAAAAATTAAATAAACAGGGGCTGGAGAGATGGCTCAGAGATTAAGAGCACTGACTGCTCTTGCAGAGGACCCGAGTTCAATTTCCAGCACCCACATGGCGGCTACGAACCGTCCTTAACTCCAGTTCCAGGAGAATCCGAAGAACTCTTCTGACCTCCACGGCATTGCACGACACGGGTGCACTCACATACTGCAGGCAATACACTCATACACATAAAATAAAAATAATAAAATATTTTTTAAAAATTACATAGAAATGTTAATGTCATTGGCAGTGAGAATTCATTTAGGCATCTGGATGGCATCCAGAAAGTTGGGTCAACTATGAAATGACAGGTCTTTAACATAAAGAAAGGAAATAATCCTTTACCACTTTGGGAAAGTTGTATTTGTCCTCTACACTAATTCATTAGATCCATCGGTTCTGTACTTTGCCATATGCATTTTGATACTTACCTTGAGAAACTCCAAACTTTTCTTTACAAGTTCAGCATCTTCGACATTCACAGTTTGAGCATCGTTCACAGACTTGGTCTTCTCTGAGATCCAATCTGATAATGACTTGAGTTTACTGAGGAAGTCTTCATGGCAAACTGCTAGTTTAGACTGGAAAACAAAATTGAGTGTTCATTTCTACATGTCCCCAAATTTCAAAGTCCTACTGTGACTCTGTTTAAGAGCTTAGCACTTTACAAATCAAACAGTTAAAAATGAATGAACTATTTCATCATGACTAAAGTCTCAAATTGGAGTTCACCGTTGTATGCCTACCATTTCAGAGTCAATCGCAAGCATGGTCTGTTTCATTCTTTCTGAAGATGTGCTGCTGAGGGAAGAGAAGGCAGTCTGCAGATCTTGGTGACTTTTGCTCAGTTCCTCAAGATGTCCTCTGGGAAGGTGACTAGGAGGAGACTTTAAGAAGTCTTCTGCCAACTTCAGATCTTTTCTTAAAATCACAGCAATAGGAGCCAATCCCAACTCAAATGTCTGCAAAGAAATATATTTCTCTTCTATTTACTATTCAACGAACAACAATTATAAACATAAAAGCAAAGTAGCCTGCTTTTTCCGAATCTAACACTAAATGACACCATCCATAAACAGCCAGTTGCTATAGCTTGGATCTGCATGTGTTCCATGCCTGCCCAAGATGTGGACCTCAGCATGCTGCTACTGGGAAACAATGGAAACCTTTGAGAGGTGGAACCCAGGGGGAGGTCTTCAGGCCCATGGGGACAAAGGATGCTCAAAGGGAGTTGGAGGATTTTTGTCTTTTTCCTGTTTTGCTTTTTCAGTTTGAAGTGATAAGCTGCCTTGCCATAAAACTAAAAGTAACAGGGGCAAGGGATTGTTGGGTCACAGCCTCTAAAACCATGAATCCAAATGATGTTTTTATTAGCTGACCACCTCAGGTGTTCATTATACTAATGGAAAGCTGACAAACAGAAGCAGACAATTCTTACCTCTAACTGTTTAAGTTGCTTCTTCAAAGCTTCTAGATTGTTATCCACATACTCTTCACCTTCCAAGGGGGGTTTCATATCTTGAAGCAGAGCCAAATACTCCTGCATTTTCTCAGTATGTTGTAAGCACTGTTGCAACTCACTAGAAAACTAAAAGCAAATTTAGATATTAGTAAAAAAATTTTAAAGTAAACAAAATATGTGGGATTATTCATAAATGTTTCATGTGGAAACTGCCATATAAAAACTTACTTTTTCTTTTGAGATATCATCAGAAGCCACCTTTTTTGACCCAGAAATACATTCAGAATGATTTGGAAGGTCACTGCACAGCTCCTGGATCGACTCATGTCTTGGCAGTGATGATACGTGCTCAGTAGCACTTTCTAGCCCCATTTCCTTTACAGTCTGTAGGTTCAGGGAACAGCCATTTCCTTCTTTGCTTTTAAGATCACCACAGGTGTATGACTTCTCTTCCAGCATCTCAGAAGCACACACCTTTTGATTTGATGCTCCAGTCTGTTCTCTTTCTTTTGAATGCCCATCAGAAAGCAGCTTGTAGAGCACACTTTCAAGTTGTGGAAGTAATTCTGATGGAATGCCCTTTTCCTCTAGATCAAACTCCACCTGAGTTAATTCCTTCATCAACTCGAATGTGCCTGTGATTTCCTGGTTATGCTGACTCTGCCTCAGTATATCAGGAAGGTCAATCTTATGATTTGCAATACAGAAAGGCTCACCTTTGCTCTCTGCGACGAGTTCTGACGAGTTATTCATGGGGGAAACTCCAGGACTATCATTGGTTTTAGAGTCACTAGACATACTACATACTTCATTTGGCAACTGGGATAAGATAACCCTTTGAATCAAGTTCCGAATTATAATTTTGGTGTCTGTATAAGCTGAAGGGTCTCCCACCTCTTTAAGAGTCCCATGACCTTCTTCCAATCTGCTTTTCAAGATACCCTTGACATCTACAAATCCCTGAGATGATTCTGGAACCTGAACTTCTTTTTCATGGGGTCTTGAAGACAAGGCTTGTTCTTTGTCTGGCTGTCTCTCAATGTTTTCTTTCTTACTGTTAATTTCTAACAGTGAGAAACTCATATCCAAAGTATTGTCAGAGGTATTTTTTACTCCATTTGTACAGAGCTTTGACTGCAAACAATCAGTATTTTCCCCATGGTCCTCCACATTTTGAACAAGTGAGACGGAAACTGTGGTCCTTTCTGGGGCGAACTGCTGAACTTCTGTTTTTCCTTCAGAGACACTTTCTGTGGTACAAAGGCTATGCTGGAGACTGTCACCTGGAGGCCAGTCTTCTTCAGGGGGAGCTGTTTTCTCTTCTGCATTATTCGTTCTTAACCATAAATCTTCTTTCATGGAAGGGGCAGCTATCAGAGCATGGCTTGGGACATTTTCATTTGCTTCCAGGATATCTGCTTTTATGTTTTTAGCACAATGTTTTAAAAAAGTAAACAGGTCACAGTCTTTCTCTGGTTCTTCGGTGAAGGGACCTTCCGCTTCACTGCTGTGTACCCCAGGGGATGCAATGTCTGAAGTCAAGTCAACAACAGTCACTTTGGAAGTTGAGGTGTCAAATATTTCTGCAAGATTCTCAAACTGAACAGGACTTTTCCTACTCATTGCTTGTACACTTTTTGGTTCATCTCTTAGAGTTACAGTCACTTTTTCTAGGCTATCTTTCTGGTTAAGTTCCCTGCTGTTGATCTGTGGGATTGGAAACTGATTCTTAACCAAACTGAGGCTCTCCGTTGTACCTTCATTTGGTAAAAGGCTGAGGTGTGGTTTTTCTTCTTTAGGACTGTCTAACAACCTTTCTCCCTTACCTGAGGCCATTTTCTGAATGGATGCTTCACCTCCTATTAGAGCATTATTTCTGGCATCTCTTCCTTTAACTGGACCTCTTCCTTTTCTTTCGTTATCTCTGTCACTTACAGAGGCTGTGGGTAACAACTGGCTGTCCTCAGAAGGCACTCCTATATGATCAGTTTCAGAATGACTGATTTTATTAAAAGATGAGAAGATTTTCGACGATACATTCTCAAGATACTTGCCTTCAGCTTTCAGAGAGTCTGCAGCTTCTGGCCCTGGAACCAAAGGGACCTTTGTGACAATTATATCACTTTCTAGTTCAGAAGTCAAACTGACATTATTAGGCAAAATGCCTTCTGAGCCCAAGTCCTTTTTGGAATCAGTGTCTTTGGTATTAGGCAGTGACACATCTTTAGTTGTCACATGACTAGGTAGGCTTACGTCATTTCTTCCAAGAGCTTCAGTTCTAAGTTCTGAAAGGTTGCTTCTGTCAGTAACTAAGCTACTCTGACTAGTCGATTCTAGCTGTAAAACATTTACACTGTGCTGTTTTTCTACGGGACTGTAGCTGTGTGTTTTACCCAAGAGGCTCACTTTATTGATGGTCTGATTTTCATCACTGTTTTCCTTTACAGTGGTGGCATACACCTGGGTATCTTCATCTTTATCTGGGCTCCTGAGCTTTCCAGTCTCATCTCCTACTCCTTGTTCGTCTCCTCCATAGCCATCATCATCACTGCTGTAGTCACTAGGACAGTCGCCATCATTCTCATCATCTAGATTGTTACTGTCACACACATACCTGTAACTTTCTCTACTTTGCATGGATTCTAAATGATCAGTATCAGATCGAATTTCCTGTCCAGTTTCATACTCTTCTTTTCTTCCTTTCCAACAATCATCAGGTTTTAATAAAGTACCGGAGCTCTCTCTCCTTCCTGTAATCTCATCATCGGTCAATGAGTCAGACTCATCACTCTCTAGGTCACTTGCAGTTTCCTTTTCAGATACAAATCCTGCTGACTGTTCATTCACCTGGTCTGAGCTCCCTGAACATAACTGTTCCTTGTTACCAGAATGGAATTCAGCTTTCTCGGTACCTTCAAGAAATTCTTGAAGATGTGCTTTGCTGTTTACACTTAAGCTGTCAACTATTCCTCCTTGGGGAAACATAGAATTCTTCTCCTTTGAAACATCATAAAAAACATCCACAGGAGGAGGGGTCCCATCATTTTCCTCCTGCAATGTGTCACAGTCCTCAGGTTGCAAACAATCATGGTCATCACCTTGAAGAATCAAAGAGTCATGGTCATCCTCTTCAAACAAGGGGGTATCATAAAAATCATCACCACTCTCACTGTCTGTTCCCATGTCACTCTGCTGGTCATCCAGCAGTGATGTCTCATAGTCCCCAGCACTGATGGCTTCTTCATGTGATAGTACACCACCAACAGATGCACTGGTATTATCTGAACCATCCCCTGGGTTCATGGTGTGTAAGTATTTTTCTACTTCAGACCTGCTTTGTCTGCCTTCAAGTGTTTGCTTAGCAACTGTATGAGTATTTTCAAGCTTACAGAAAGCATCTGACATGTATTTATCATTGTGATACTGTACTTGAGGATTACTGCTACCAATATTTAAAGAATTTTGTTCACAGTGTTCTCCCTGAAAACTGACGTTAATAGCTGCTATTCCCAGATACTGGTCCTGAAATGTTTCTTTTGTTCTTTGATCTGCTGATATGCTCTGGTCACTGACTGACAATGCAGAGGCTTCACATTTATACCCAATGTTCTGTGGGGTATGGCTATCATTAAAATTTCCCTGATAGTGCCTCATCTCATCATGACTTAATAGGGCACTAAGACTCGGGGAATAGTCAAAGACAGATGGGTCCTTATGCACAGCATCTTCAATCTCATCCTCACTTGAATCGTAGAGTCTACCAGCTTTTGATGTCAAAAAATTACTCGCAAATTCTTTACTGCTACATTCATCTGGATATTCCTTTGCTTCAAGTTGACTTTGATTTTCACAGATTTTATGCATGTTTTCAGAATCATGTCTGAGCATGCTACCTTCTGCAAGTTCAATCTGTGGTGAATGTGACACAGGTGTGGGGACCCACATGCTAGATGAAATGCTGGCTTCATCAACAACTGCTGCTGACTTTCCTAGGTTTTCAGACTGGTACAACACACTGCTGCTACCAGTTCTCATTTCACAAAGCTCTTCCTTTAGAGCACACTTTCTATTTTCAACAATCTCTTTATGTTCAGGTTCTCCACAAGGATATTTATCAAAACCAGTTGGTGAAGTGAAACATTCTTTCTCTTTACTTGTAGCATAATTGAGAAAGATATCAGAGTAGCTTGAGACAGCAAGACTTTCTTTTATGGGTATTTCCTCTCCAAATTCTGCACCACAGCTTTCCAGCAGCATGCTAACAGCCTCATCCAAGTCTCCATCATAGAGCAAGAGTCTCTGCCCCGTGTTTGCATCCATGTAGCTATTCACCATCAAATAAGAGAGGAATAAGTTCTTAGTTTGTTCTAAATTCTGAGTTGCTGCTGGCTCTTCACCATCAAAGCCATCCTCTTCCTGCCTATAATCATGAACTGTAGATGGATGGAATTTACAAAAAGAGAGCCATCTTTTGGCATTTTTACAAGCTTCTAGATCTCCTAAGTCTGGCATTTTGTCTGGTAGTGTTATATTTTTTAAAATGGACACTGTATTATTATCTATAATTCCTAGCTGATTAGCAACATCCAAGCCAATGACTTGAGAACTTTCTGGGATATAAAGAGCAGCAATTTTCTGCCGTCCATTCAGAATTTTGTAGGCTAATTCATTTGTAATCAACTCTTGTTGCAAGGAAGAAGACGTGGGGAATATTTCGCCAGAGTGGGGCCAAAGGAGCCCAACATAGCCTCGCTGAGCCTCCAAAACCAGAAGAGCACTGCTGGATGTTATCAAGTCACATTGCACCGCTTCATCTACTGTTAGGCGCTTAGCAGGGTTTGAGTGCATGATCCCACCAGTCTGAACCTGGTATGTGAGGATAGCATTTGCAGTGTCTCTGTCGATCATTCCCTCTGCTGTGGCTTCTTCAACAGTCATTTTCTGACCAGAGTTACCACTTATCAGACCTCCAGACAGAAGCTGCGCACCTAACAACCTGAACATGGTTTCACGGTCTATGAGACCTTCATGAGCTGCTCTTAAAATGCTTATGCTCCTTCCACATTTCAGTGTTATTCGGCCCCCTTCCTGTGGCCTCACAGGTAGAAGCCACATCCCAGTGTTTTCCTGCAAAATGCTTCTTTGGACCATATCAATTAAAGACACCTTCTCAGAAGTACACGGGTCTATAAGATCTTTGCACATGTTTTGCCTTTCCAGGACTTTAGAAAACAATGCTGAAGAAAGTAAATTCTGTTGGAAAGCCTTTTGCAGGGTCAGCTGTTCACCTGTGGCTGGGACAACCAGAAAGCCTGTGGAAAGCAGCATCTCCAGAACTCTAATGGCCATGGACTCTGCTATCATGCCTTGAGCCAGAGCATCCAGGACAGGAACTGAGGTCGACGACACAGTAGAAATAATCTCCTTAGCTTTATTTAGTTCTTGCAGTTGGCAAAGAATTTGTTCATCAATGAGGCCACAACTCTCAGCATCTTTGAGGTCAAAACACTTTCTTAATTCTGGTGAAATTAAGCCAGAAATTATTAGCTGTGTCTCTAGCAACCTGATTCCTGTGTCATAGTCAATGAGGCCTCTTAAAACTGCCTGATAGACGGAAAGGACTTCTCCAGTTGTCTGATCAATGGTGCCTGAGATGACTTTATCCAGCTGTGGAAAAATACAAAAATCTCAGGTCAGTCTGATATTCACAGCAGTATCATGGAACTTAGGTGTTTTTGTTTTTTAATAATGCACTTAATCATAAAAATCCTCTACTTACCAAGATGCAGAAATGCTGTGAATGTTAGGCAGCTCAAATGCACAAGTGATCTATGTCAGTGATCTATTCAACAGCACAGGATGTGATAAAAGCTTTGAAAACAACATGCATCTGTGAATTGAAAACTTAATACCGTGTTTGCTAACAAGGTTAGTGAAGACACAACAGGAGTGGGTGCTGACAGTGAGAAAACAGAACATGTATCTAGAAGGCACATCATGCTTCCTGCATTTGGGTGAGAACAGAGTCTAGTGAAATGAAAGAGAGGATCGGACCCCATGCTATTGATGTTTACAGCATACAAACTTCTTTTTGTAAGGATACTCAAAAACCAAGGAACCGGAAAAATTGTTACATACCCCCAAAACATGACAAACTATTGACAGTATTCCTGGGAGTAATGGAATTAAATATAATGAACACTTTGAATACTGAACATTGTGTTGAGCATATTAATATGAACCAGACAAATTTTAAGTAATTTTGGTTCTATATTAAGAAGACATGAGGGCATCTGCATTTCAACATATGGCCTGCCATCACTCAAAAAACACTCATGGATGTCTCTGGAAATGAAACTCCATAAACCTGTCAATGTTAACTTCAGAGATGACCCACAAGCCCTTTTATAACACCATATCTTATAATCAAATAGCTAACAGTAAAAGAATGGCTTTTGAAAAGAAGAGTTAGAAAATGAATGCATCTTCTTTCACCATGCAAGGCAGAGATTAAGAGGCCATAGAAACTGATGTGTAAGACCCCATTTAATAAACAACACTGAAATCTCAGAACATTCAAATTAATTCCATCCATTTTTCCACATATGGAAGTTGAGGTAACTTACTAATGACATGTATTTTTATAGTCATGCAATAACATCAGGCTTCCTGAAGTGGCTTCACGTTCAAGAGTAACATTACCTTCTCTACCTTGACATCTCCAGAGGGTTGTGATTCTTGTAGCTGTTTCAGAGATTCACTGAATAATAAGTATCCTTCTTGAAGACTTTTCGCTTGTTTTTCCAGTTCACTTCTTTCTTCATCTGTCAGTCTAAAATATCCACAAAGTATGACGAGATTAATCATAGCCTTCAAGTGTAAAAAGTCTGTATTAGGTTCAGTGTCACTGTTACCTGATCTTAAAATATAGGCTGACCTAGACATTTCTAAGGCCTTGAAATGACTGTATATGAAAATAAGGGTGCCTTGAAATATCTAGAAGTCTTTCACTTGTCCAAGAAACGTATAAGAAAAGGTCAAACAAATCTGTTAGTGCCTCTTCAACATAAAAATTTCCAGAATAACTTGTTATCTGATAAAGGAAAGATCCTGTTTTCAGTCCCAACAATGAAAAGAGCCAGTTTCTTCAGCTAAAACTTATTTAAACTAAAGGCTGAATAAAAAAGAAATCTACAAACCCAATTCTCCAGTGTATGACACAAAATTATTCTGGGACAAACCTAAAGAGGACAAGCTAAAACAGACGACAAGGCTGAATGCCTTCCTTGTCTGAATCACTGGTTGAAATATACGCAGGGACTTGTGAAAAGTGGAATTTATGTCTATGCACAACCATATAAATGTATGTATATTAATATTAGCAAAGAAAACAAAGAGTCTGTTTATATAATTCTTCCAAAAGGTCATTTCAAGAGTAACATTTTGAATCAAAATTGGATTTGGAGTCTTGCTATGATGACTCACTAATTCTAATCTCTAGCCACTCTGAGCCTGTTTTCTGTAATTTCAGCTTTATCAGTAATAAATGAACATAAGTAAATTTAGATGTGTGATGACTAGAAGCATCAAATTGCTAAGTTTGTACTCATTAAGGAAACTGTGATGTGTGTATTTAATTTTTAAAATACTAATGAAAATTTACCACCTTCTGCCTTACTGAATGCTTTTAAAAATTTGTCCTTACACTGAATGAAAAGACTGATAAAAATCAACATACTTGTCTCCATGTTTAGCCAAGAAAAGCTGGATAGCTTGAAGTGATTCAGAGAGCTGTTCCTTCTTGGTTGATATTTCTTTACTAGAAATCTGTAAGGTGAGAATGCACATTCAAATTCTATTCACAAAAGGAGTAAAAAATAGTAATCTAAAAGAATAGCATGTTTTAATCAAGACCAAAATGGCAGGTATGCCTTCTGGGTGACAGAAATCAATAACCTATCGGTTATGAGCAGTCTCCTCTCGAAGCCTGCATAGGAAGACAACTTTACTTAGAATGTACAGTAAGAAGTCAGTGTCCTCTGTTCAAAATGCTACCATTTTCAGATATGGGCCTTGCATCTGTCCCAACCTAATCATGAGTTAGGTGACCCCGATACTGGATGGCCAGAGGCTGAGCACCGGCCCAAAGTCAGCCTTGTATATCCTAGTACTCAAAGTATGTGACTGTGGAGCACTACGTCCAAAGAGTGCCTTCTTCCCCTAGCACCTAAATACAATGTCCCTTCTGAAAGGGTTAGATGAAGTATTACTCAGCAGGCTTGTAGGTCAAGAAGAAATAATTTCTAACCCTAGGCTGCTCCATTGCAGAGGTCATCTGTGTCAACCAGAGAAATAAAATCGATCAATTTGGGGAAAAGCAAGAAGCTAACACTTTCTCCTAATCCCTTCAATTGCCTACATTTTTCCCTCAAAAAAATTTACATTCTTGGTAATAAGCAAAACAAGAGGAAATATGGGGTCAATGAAAAGATGCCCGTATCTTAGTCAATTTAAGTATTTTGCATGGTCATAAGTAATCATGGGACCAAATGGGATTTTTGAGGACTCACTATATGCACATTGAATTATTTTTTTTTCTTTAAGAAAGATAGATCAAGTGCTCTGGTGGAATTACAGGTAAGGCCATGATCTGCAATAAAAAGTGTGTATGTGTACTAGGTCTAAATCTTACTAATGTCTGGAGAATTTGAAATGATATAATGTGAAGATATAGGGGTTTATGATTCATGTTTCTGAAAAGAAACTTGTTTTCCCAAGAAATCTTAGGTGCCTGTTTTAGCTGCTTATCTATTTTATTGAGAAAAAAGGCTTGGAGGAAGCTATCTTAAATATCTGTAGCAAATTACCCTGAAAGTTTTTGGTTTAAAATATGCCAGATGCAAATGCTTTCAGAATTCTCATTTCTTCCATATTGTATTATATATACTATGTATGACTAGGAGCTAATACAGCTCTATTTCTAATGAATAATACTTCAAATATATACTCAGTATCTCTTCAAAAGAAAATTCCAAATCAAATATATTTGGCCTTGTATCAAAGGCAAGATTAGGCAAGACACTGAAGTCTTCCCTTATTTAATCATACAAACTGTGTCTATTTCAACGGACTGTACGTGATTATTAAGGTAGAGCTAGAAGAGAGTTGGAATACTGCGATTAAATTAGAAGTTTCGAAGTGTCAGGCAAGGGCAGGAGCTAGCCTCCTGTGCAAAAGTATTCCTTACGTAAAAGTTTCTCTGGCTGACAATTTTCCAGGCATGATGACACATGCCTGCAATCCCAGCTCTTGGGAAGTGGAGGCCCAAGAATGAAGCCTCCATCAACTTCCCTACAGGAGACCCTGTCCCTGGAAACCAAACTAACCACAACAAAAATGAAATAAAACCCAGCAGGAATCCCTATGATCAATAACAGCACCACTAGAACTTATACTTTAATCTCCATGTCTTGTGGGCTTGAAAGGGTATACTGTGTCATTCAACTAAAGCTAAGTAGTGAGGTTAAGAAGAGAGCCCCCGGGACTAAAAAGTTCACTCGAATATGTAGGGATATAGAATTTCCAGTGGTTGGGCTAGAATGATTTCCTTATGAAACAGAAAAAAACCTAGGGAAGAACTACTGACTACTTACTATCCTAGCTGGTGTTTTCCTTATTCTTGAAACATGTTTAAATCTGTAAAAATGAGACATGTGTCTTCATGATGTGGAGGACATGGAGGACTGGTCAGCAGTTCCCATCACACTAATCAGGGGCTGATCCAAGTACACCAGGAAAAGTCATGGAACCTCCTGGCTCACTAACTATTCAGGTTTTGGAGTCACATTTCCTTTTCCAGCATATCCTAACCATGATTCCTTCGGCAAGCTACCTAACACCTAACCTGTAAGATCTTCATAGACTGTAAACCTGGGGCAAATTAAGGCAAAGATGTAAACATTGTGCTTGCGGACTGTATCAACTCAGCACCTTCTACCCAGTTAGTATGAAGCTGGGACCTCAGTGAGTACCTGTTGCTTAGAGAAGAGAGATTTCTCAGCTTTCTCTCCATCTCTCAATGTCTTGCTGATATTTGATACCCATTTTTGCAATTCTTTAGCTTTTTCAACATGCTGTTTCTTTTCCTCTTCCAGTGACTTCTGACAGGTATGATTGGTAAAAAAACAAACAAAAAAAAAATTCCAGTAAATAACCAAGCTACTAAGCTGACCAATCCTCCGAGAATAAGAATGCAGAAATGTTTTCCTCATCATCTACACAGGTTACTGAGGCATTTTATTCATTCACTTAATCACGTTTAACCATGTCACACAGCAGTGTACTTCCAAAATGTTTATGGTAGTGAGAATGCTTTGAGAAAACATTCTTCAGTCATTGGTCTGACCACCCAGCTGCTCCAGGAACATGACAAATAGGCGAACCCAACTTTATTCATGAGGAACTAGCAGATTTTTGAATTGCTGCCTTTGCATTAGCATTACAATCGTGACTGTCTTGACAGAAAGGTATCAGACAAGAGAGAGTCTCTGAAGGAACAGTGAAGGAACAGTGAAGGAACAGAGTGACTACATGCAGATGAAAAATCCTTAGCGAGGAGAAACTTTCCCCCTCCTCCAACACGCAGTGCAGTTAATGTTTGATTTGAATTCTAAAAACCTCAACTAAAATAAGAGATTACAATAAACATTTTGCTATATAAGGAACATTACTGCATACAGGAAAACTTGGAACATTTTTGCTTCAGAAGCAATCTCTCTTGTTGCTGCCTCATAGAAGTGGAATGAATTTACATCTTTTTCTTTGATCCCAGGGTGCTCTGTGAGGTGCTCTTTCGAAAGGCATAATGTGTCCTTTAATAAATGGGAGTGCCAGCACCAGGCTGTATCTACGCAGCAAAAGGCCTCTGAAGGAGCTCTCAAGACAGGAGGCTGTGAACTAAGTTCATCAGCTTACCCCACATTCTAGGCAAAACCCATTCATTTTAGTGAGGTAAGATTTAAAAAAAAAACCTATCTTCAGAACTAAATGGAACTATTAAAAAGGCAGTACATATTTTGTTATTTACAATTTAAAAATTATCATCTCTTCTGAGCAGGAATCTATCTCTAGCCCACAAGAAAAAAAAAAAAACTGGTGCTTCAAGTTAGTGACACAACTTAGTGCACTTTTAGTCAAATATCATTGCTTTAAGCAGATAGCATGAACCAGTCAGCGCTGCCCCCTTGCATGCAATTGCTTAAACTTGTCCTACTGGGAGGAATAGTAGAGGCTGGAGATTCCTGTCGTCAAGGGTTCAGATACTTCTAACAGTTTAAGTCCTGTGTGGAAATCAAAATCAGCTTTTTCTAAGGCTTCTTTATATGTTAATTTTCTTTTGGTCCGGGGACATATTATGTTCCTGACATATGACTTTTGGTCTTTGAGTCTGGTGGCAATGAGGACATCTATGGCACCTATCTGCAGAGCCTCTTCTATTGACAACCTGGAGTGAGCCTCTGGCTCTATCAGCCCTCCTGTCAGGTACTGAAATTCCAGGCACCGCATACCCATTTCTTTACTTATGATATTTGCATTCACAGCTTCCATCACTGACATCGTTCTATTAATGACAGGATGGCTAATCCCTGTGATGACTAATTCACACTGGCGCAGCTGCTGGGCAAAGCCCTCATCCACCAGGCCTCTATGCAAAGCCTCGGCCACCCTGTATTTTTTACCAGTTAGGGGATCAATTATCCCCCCAGTACTGACTTGGGCTTCGAGGCATCTGAGGGCAGTAATCCTATCAACCAAATTTCTACGGGAGGCTTTCAGTAAGGAGATCCTTTCCCCACTAGCTGTCAGCCAATAGCCAGCAATGGGACTATGCAAATCCTTCTTCGGAATTACCCGGCTCAGCAAGAAGTCAGCAAGTTCTGTCAGTGTGATGAGGCCTTCCTGATATTTTTTGACTGAGGTTTTGTCAAGTGTTCCCTGCTCTACAGCCTCACTAATATTGAACTGCAAGCCAGTTTTAGTATCAGTCAGCATGTGAGAAGGATGCCCATAAGCGTCAAAAAATGTGACTTCCCTCCATTGATACTGCTGTCCTGAAAGTTCAAGATAAACACTTTTGTCGATTAGGTTTCTCTGGAGAGCCTCATATGCTGTCAGTTCTGCTCCTGTATTAGTATCTACCACAGAAATTTTATGAGTTTTCTCTATGTTGAGATTGGATATGTCCCTCTCCCCAAATGGCAACAGAAGGCACTGGCAATCTACATCAAACACACACATCTGGAGTAATTCTGCATAATAAAATGCCTGCTTGTTGTTGGGATTAGGAAAAACTCTTGTGTTGCTGGATGGCTCGTGCAAAAACTGTAAGATGGCATTATTTAGCAAGCCCTGCTTCACAGCGACTTCTGGAGGAACACGGATACCTCTCACGGGGTCAATGACACCCCCACTGGCAATCTGGGCTTCCAAGATATGTTTACCTTTCTTTCTGTCAAGCATTCTGTTTTCCATGGCTTGAAACACTGACAGTGTCTTAGAAGAATGTGAATACCCCAAAGCTGCCTTCTCTGCCTCAAGGAGCCTATTTCTGAACTCAGGATCAACAATGCCTTTAAGAACTGCATCTTCCACACAGTACTTCTGACCTGAAATAGGGTCAATCATAAAACCTGTCGCAGCCTGAGCTTCTAAAAAGACTAAAGCCATCATTTTGTCTATTAAGATTTTCTTAGCTGCTGAAGCAAATGAAATTTTCTCTTTTGAAGAGTCTAGATAAAGCCCTGCAATTGAGGTGGCTTTTGTCAAAAATTTGCTAAGAGTTTTCTGAACTTCTTCAACCGTCTTCAGACCAAGTCGCAGTTGCTCAACTGTTTTCATGTCCAGAAGCTTGGCTTCAACAAGCTGCCTGGCAGTCACAGTGTGCCTGAGGCCCTGGAATTGAAATTCATCATCCCTAACAGAGCATGCGTGATTAAGATCAAGGTTCTGGGAAGTCTCTGGTTCTAAGCTTTTCTTAAGGAAATCTCTCTTGAGTCCACCAGATGCTCTGCACCCTTCGAACATCCATTCGTCAGCACTGGGAACTGGTTTCTTTTCTTGTTTTAATGTTGTGACTTCTGTATGCATATCATATTGCTTGTCCTTAGCTATCTGTAATAGGAATGTTTAACATGTTAAAAGTCATCTAAAGAACATTATGCCATGTTACCCAATATCCTCAACCCAAACAAAATTCCTTGAGTCACGAATATAATTGAAGAATTTAAAACTGAGGGCAGGGGATAATAATACTTTGAGAAACTTAGTTTTAACAATTAAATACGTTAAAGTCATTTGTTGAAAAAGATTACGATATTTGGCTACAGAATAGTAGTGACAATTTATAATAAAATGTAGGTAAATCACTAGAAAATTGCCGCAGTATTTCCCTCTAAGAACTATAAAAAGCCAAACATTCAAACTTGTTTAAAACGTAGTCTTGGAGAGGAAAGAAGCAGGAAGAAACTTAACATCATGTAGTTAATATGGTCTCAAAGAATACCTCTAAGGGTGTCAAGAGTTTCACCAACTCCATCTCGAGTTTGTCATCTTGGTACCTAAGAGGTGGCCTGGAATTGTGTAGGGCTTGGTCTCTTATCTTCTCTATTTCTGTTAACCTTGTAATAGGGTTTTTCTCGTCAAAAGTTATTTGTAATTCAGTGCTTGTTTGAGAGAAGTACTCAGAGTAGCACTGCTGGCTTTTCTCCTTCTCCAGCAGAGCCTCAGGCTGCTGGAACTGAACTTCTTTTGGCACTTGCTCAACAACCCTATGCTGCCATTTTTCCTCCAGCTGCTGTGGCTCTTGAGTCCATCTCAACAGTGGAGACCTGGCCTTTGGGAGAAGGTGCCCTGAGTTTCTATAGCTCTCTCCAGGGCGATGGCACTCTTTGCCTGCCGTATCAAAATCTGGTGTGAAGGTACGATCTTCAATTGTGCTCTTTTTTTGGATTTCACACTGAAGCAAAACTAACTGATGCTCATGCTCTTTCATCTGTTGATCCATTTTTTGCTTCAGGTTTTCAACCTCACGTTTCTGGGCTATCAGCTCAGCCTCAAGTTTCTGACACTTTTGATAATGGTTTGCTTCAACATGCCGTCCCTCTTGCATCTGCTCACGGTACCGCTGAAGTTGCTGCTCAAGCTCTCTAATATTTGTTTCCCAAAGCTTAGCATTCTCTTGAGCTCTGCAGTTCTCTCTCTGAAGAGATACAAAGTCATGCTTAATGCCCGAAATATCGTTTTCAGTGATGACCTTGGACTCCATTAATTTTTCCATCTTTTTCCGGAACTCATCTGCCGAACGTTTGAATTTGTCAGACTCCTCCTGAAGCAGGACCATCTTTCTGTGGGTCATCTGTTCTTCTATGGTCTTTAAGTGTAGTTCATCTTGCACCTTTTTCAGCCTGCTATTCAACTCTTGCACCTGAGCTTGCTGTAGTTGAGCTTTCTGCTCCTCCCGTCGCTTCTCCTCTTTGGAGGCACTGAGCTCAGCGTTCAGGCTTCTAACTTCCTTCTCGGTATTCTGGATGATAATGTTCTGTTGGTCACACTTGTGCTTAAATTCACTTACTAAGTTTTGGCTTTTGGCTAGATCATCTTCTAGGTTTTTAATTTTTCTCTGGAAATCCTGCTCTGTTTTGGTCTGTTTATGCAAGTGTTCATTTGTATTGCGTAACTGATCTTTAAAACCATCTGCCTGAATTTTCAGCACCTCACATCTCTGCTGGATGGCTTGTTTCTCTAGAACTATACTCTGGGATTCAGCCTGAATTCGCTGCATCATTAATTTGGTTTCATTGTTCTGCCTCGTGAGCTCATCCACCCTTTGTTTGAGCATTTCTGCACACTCGTTGCTTTTCTCCAGCTCTTCATTGAGCTTTTGGATTTTAGCATTATTTTCTTTCTCGGCTTTAATATTCTGAAGCAGCTGCGCATGGCTCTTCTCAAACTCTTCTTTCAGATGATCCGATTTCCTCTGACACAGTTGTCTTCTTTCATTTGAGAGTTCCTTCTCATCCTGGAGAGAATGCACTCGGGAGTTTAACTGCTGAATGTTCTTCTCAGCGAGTGCATGCGCCCTAGTGACTCTGTCGACTTCTCT